TTCGTCTGCTCCGCTGTTGATGCTTTGTACATGAAGTAGTTCAGTGGATTGTTCTGGTACTTTGGCTATGGTGAGTTGATCACTCGGTGCGTTTGAGAAAAGCCCGCTGTGTGCGTCCTCACTTCTTCCATAGATAAGCATATTGGCGACGACAAAGGCTGCTGAAACCTCATGGAGAGGATAGAGGGTAGGAATAGATGCTAGCTGGACAAGTTGACATTTTTGAACATTTGAAGCTCGTAAACCAACTGGCAGGTAATGGATCTCAGTCACGGAAATCCCATTGGAATGCAGTTAGGGGGAGTTTGCGTCAGTATTTGAGATATGAAGTAGGCGGCGATGTGCAGAAGTGTAGAAGAAGGTTGTGCTGTGTTATGTTTTCTAAACCACTTAGCTGTCTTTACGTTGTCCACACAGCTACTGAATGTTGTGGGTTTAATTAAAAAAAGTTGGAGGGACCCTATTTACGAGTAGAGCGGGCAAAAGGGGAAGGAAATTTTATTGCCTCATTTCTATTTGATAAAACTTGCTATTCACTGCTAATTGACCATATTTCGCCGGAATGAAAAGTACAACTATAAGTGCTCTCTGGGTCAAAATTAACAAAATCCGTCAGTGTGCTGAAATGTGGCCTGTTTTCAACGTCACTTGGCTCCTCATTTGGCTTTTTTTCTGCTAAACGATGTGTTAGAAAGCCATTAGACCGAAATAACATCCGAAATCCAACGTTGCGCCCAGGGTGTTGAGACCTTATGAAGCACCAGTTAGTCATCTCCAAAGCTCCAATGGGCCACTCATCTAGCGGATGTTGTTATGACATTGCTACGACTACAAAGCGACTATTTTATTAATGTTTTAATTGCTGGATTTCCTTGAAATCTAGAAGCTGAAGCAGCTTATATTTTTGAAGAGTATTGTACAGCACCTTCTTGAAAGTTGAGCCAAGCACACGGTTAAATGGACCGTTTGAAATCTGTGCAAGGCGCAATGCGTGGTCTTTGTCACAAAGATTACATTTATTAGAGGTTGGCATTTTTCAGTGCCAAACAAACTCTGCAAAGACGAGTTCTTGTGGCACAGTCTCATAATTACTAAAAAGTGTTCTACTTTGGAGCATTTAAACCTGCTGCTTATTCGGATAGCTGTGGCTTAATTACATACTAATGTTTTCATGTAACGTACGAATATCGTATTTATTACAATTTTTATGCTTCAAGGTGACGATCGAAGATATTTGGGAAGGATAATGTGCTCTGCATAGGGATTAGCAACTTTGAATGTAAAAACAGAAAAATAAGTCTGAGTGTGTAAACTTGGGTGGCGAGGAAAGGGGAGAAGAGACAGGAGAAGCATAAGATGAGGCTTGTTGGACGGAGCGAAAAAAGTTGCCCTCAATGCAACAGTTTGTTTACAAGGCGAAAAAATTCTGCCTCAGGTCTGCAAGCATCTGTGAGAGCATGCGTGTGTGTGTGTGCACAGCAGATAAGATTGTTCGTTTGTGTGCGTGCTTCTGTGTATATTTAAATGCCATCGCTTGAAAAAAGGTGGCCCAAAGGGGAGTATGTATATGTGTGGATGTCTTGTTCCTCTCCAAACTGATCTTCCTGCCTCACCCCTTCCCTAACACGGGCATCCGAAGAAGAGAATGGCCGCAAATGCTAAACGCAATCAGGCGCACGCGGACTTCATCTGCGGCCCAGATGGAGGGAAAGGGTGGGGTGCGGGTGGATGTGTAAGGTTAAAGTAGTTACGAGTGTTTGCAAACATGAGCTGTCAGAGAGGCGCGGTAACCTGAAGTCTGATCGTCAGGCGGTGGTGTGGGACATCCCCTCTTCTGAGTGGCGCGCTCGTTTCGCGTAATTACCAAACGCTTTTTCCACTCAATGACATTTCCCGATCCACGAGTTCGGCTTGGGTTCATCACCTCCACCCTTGTAACTTCGCGTCTATTTAGTTCAGACACAAGCTTAAATGAGCGAACGAGAGCGAGTTAGAGAGGAAAGAGAAAATGGAAATACACATTCCAACCCGTAGTCTGTCTTCCTCCTTCTAATTTCAAACATGTTTCCTCTTCTCGTGAATATGTATAAGTACCACAGCATGGAATGCATTAGGTTGTCAAAAATTATAGTAACTAGGTACAATGCCCGCACTAAGGAGCGAATTCCTCCAATATGCGATTGAAGCCTTACCATTCGCTCTGCGCCCTACTTAATCAGTAAATTAGGTCCTGCTCTGATTTTGCAGTCTTTCACGTGTGACATGCTTAAATATGCCTTTAATCTTTATTTAACTGACATCAACTTCAGACAGATAAGGCATTAACTATCAATCTGAATTGTCATCAACTTCCTTGATACTTCATCCTTGTTTAGCACGTTCCGAAGGTGCTATCATCATTGGTGACCATGACATAACAATGCATGTCAAATCCGGAGAGAATCTCATTCAGTCGTGCAAAGTGAATTCCGAACAACACCGAACCGTCACCATAAGGGTACGTTCTACTTTGAAATGCATACGAAACAAGGGAAACGGAAATCTAGCCTAAAAGAACTCTCTAAAAACTCTCTAAAAGAACTCTCTAAAAATCATTTAGACTTCAATGTGTGCTTCGTATCGCAGCCTTTTTTATAGCCTTCAGTATTACCCTATCTTGGCAAGTAGGCCCAATCTTTCACTTGAGCATTGGCAATTAAGGCATGAAGATGAAGTTGCAGACCAAAGGTGGAGTAGTGTAAAGTAGCCGTGTCCGAAGCAGCTTTGGGTTTCCATTTTGTACAAGCATATGACTAGCCAAGAGGAAATGTAGATGCGTGAGCCGTGAAGTGCGTTGGGAGCGAAATCGACACTCTCCCAATCGGATGGGACGGTGGGGGCCAGTGGCTACACAAATTACAAATTACTTTTCTCCGCACACATAACACGGATGGACTAGACATGAAGTTAACACATGAGCTAAAGACCAAACGATCGGTTTAATTGAGCAACACTGTTTGTACAGATCTTGTCTAATATGGGAAGTGAGTTGCGACACATTGCGCAGAAGGTGTTAGAAGTCATGGCTGAGATAAGTGGCCATATAGAAGTGTTAGCTGTATTGTGTTTGACTTCGTACAGTGCAATGCACAGTGTGCAGTGCCCATGAACCACCTTTTAAACGCTTTGCTTTGATAAATGATAAAATTGAAATCAAAGCTGAACGGTATTGCTGGGTTCAGATGAATTATACTTTACTACTTCAATTGAAATGTGCCCCACATTTAGCATCGTCATTGTCTGCGATTCTATGGTGCCATTTGTTTAGATTCTACAAATGACTGTTTCGGCATTTTGTTGTGCTTATTTTTTCGTAATCCATTGGTTGCAATTTTCTACAGAGCCCTTACTCCGCTCCTGCGCCACCTGACCGAATCTGTGCCTTGTAGCTACTTGGCAGGGGAAAAATTATCATGTCTTTACTTCATAGACATTTGCTGCTTGCATTTGACCAACTCAACCACTGCTCAAAAAAAGTGACATGAGAGCTCTTTATTCAATCCTGCAGTGGGGTAAGATAATCGAACCAAGCAAAGCAGCCTCCGCTTACGAGGGAGGTGGGAAAGAAATAATTCGACTCTCCAATATTGCCTTCATCGTATTTCCTTTGATGCCGACGAACGAGGCTAGCAACAAGCTGACCTCCAGCACTCCCTCTGTCAGCGGTCCCTTCGCTGTCAGCGATCCTGGCTCACCCGAGAGTCAGCTAGTCATTCAGCGAGTAACCGGTCGTGACGCTGGAGTGTACATCTGCTCTGTCATCACCGAGTCGGGGTGGGATGATCGAAAACTTGTACGCGTTGTTGTCTCCGGTACGAAGTCATCCACCAGCACTTAACGCTCAGTAATGTCTCAGTATTCGTTAAGCCACACTCGCCCTCATTCTTACATACACACAAAGTTCAGTAGAAGTTGGTGTGTACGCGTAAGGAATGGTTTACAGTCAGAAGGATGTGGAGAATAATTTTGAGGTCTTTTATGTTCGACTTATTTACAACATGCGTGGGTGATAGAGGTTGCCCTAAATTGAATTGTTAAACTGGTCTATAGGCTATCCCAGAAGTGATCACTGCCCAATGTGTTTCAAAACGTTACATATGCAGCACTAATTTTGAAGCTAATGCAACAACAATCCAGCCATTTTCGATATGTGAATTTTGAATAAACGAACACTGATTAAAGGCGAAGTACGAGTAAATCCTTCGCCAAATGTCTAATCGAGGCTTATATGTTTTCTTTTTCAGATGCTCAAACTGAACCTTCTGCAGAGACCTTTGAAGAAAACAGCTATCCACGACGTCTGGCACTATACATAGCTGCACCAGTAATAGTCTTCTTTGTGTGCATTTTCATCATTAGCTACTGTCTTATCAATCGCAAAAGCCGTCGCTGTTCACAGCTTAACGGAAGTGGTCACACACGAGCCACATTGCCAGTGATGAGACAGATTGGTAACAGCAACAACTCTGTTAGCATCTATCGCAGTGGGTTAAATGGCCCTGGTATCACAGGTAAGACCAATACGACGGGCCTAATTGACCACCACATGGGGCATCACTCGCCGCAGGGTCCTCCCTCTTCCGCCGTTACGGCTCCAGCAGCAGCAGCAGCAGCAGCAGCAGCAACAACAACAACAAATAATAATAATAGTACTAACACTAATAATAGCAACCACGTTGCCTACTCCTCGTCTACGGGCTCTCATTCTCTAAGTGGTACCTCTGCTGGCACACCAGGTTCTATGCTGCTTGCTAACACCATGGTCCAAGTTCTGCCTCCGGATGGATCTGGCTACCCTCTCCTGAAACCCAACGGACATCATCATCATCATCACCAACCTCCACCACAGTCGCAGGTCCCCCCACCGCCCCCCCACAGCACCTATGATCCCTACAACACGAGTCACATGAGTAATGGAGTCTCCAGCGACACAGGAGTTGGGGGCCCAGGAGCGATGATGTATATGCCTTCTGCGTATCGCGATTTTCAGGCTTAGCGACTTCCATGCATGGTTAGACCAGGTTATGCATACAGCAATCTCCTTTCTCTGTACAAATATGCTTTAATTCTGGTGCTCCCGTTCAGAGAGGACTATCGAAAGCAAACGTGACACTTTGAAGCGTGTATTGTTCAGTCACTCCACTCCTCTATCTACACCGCCCTTTGTTTTGCTGCTATCGCGCACAGCGTCTTCTCTCACCTTACACCATGCGAGCCGGTCCAGGGTATACACAAACATATAAGCACATATAAATCTACTTTAAATACAAGCACTCTGATTGCCCCTAGATTCCACTCTTTCCCATTTCCAAGTTCATTTGACCATATGCTGATGCGAATCATTTCATTTACCGTATGAAACTATTTGAACTAATGGCAAAAGCACATACACACACACACATTTGCATACAGGGTATTCTTAAGCTGTATAAAAGCACTAATTCACAAGTGACTATGACAATGATGCAATGCTTTTAATTTGTCGACCTTTCTCAAGATCTCTACAATGCCTCTATGTCACTTGCTCTCTCTTAGTCGATACTACATAAAAATGCATTTTGCGTGGTGTCCGTCGGCCATTCAGTTGCACTCCAAGGTCGTCCCCATTATCCCACATCTCTGCTCCATCCTTAACCTTTTTATAGCTTTATTTGAGGCTTAATTCATGAATAAATGTCTTACTGAGAGAAGGTATGTGCATTTCTTTCTCGTGAAAAACCTGGTGCAAATGACAGTAGTCCTGGTGTAGTTTCGAATATACCACCAGTGTGGTATCGTTGTGTGCGAGAAAGAAAATCTCAACCCTTCAAACCTTGCATTTAACAACCAAGTAGTTTGTCAACACACCTCTATAGTTTCAATTTTGGACTAAATTGAGGAGAAATCTACTGTTTGGAGTGGCTGTAAATTACGACGTTAGAATCGGGTGACCCGGTTATCTTCTTGAAGCAACTAATTTCCATCTACCCTTTTGGCAGGAGAGATAATTGGACTCACTGATACGGGTGGCAAGTGACGACTGCGCCTATGGGACCGGGAATTGTCCCATGGTGCTTGTCATGCATTGTGAGGATTCTACTCTTACTTAGCACCTATTTCCGCCTCAAATTGGGACTGGTCAGTCCCCGTGATCGCTTCGCTCAGTCATTGCGAATAATCACCTTTGAAGGCTGCAGCTTTAGTTCTTTTTGCACTGTCTCAAATTCCATCAGCATTTGCCATGATGCTAATATACTTTGCTGAAGACGGAAGATTTTCAAAACAATAATTCTAAAATTTCTTTCAAACAAGGCAACTCCAGGCCTGTATGTCTTTCGCTGGCTTTAAGGTGATGGCATTTTATGTATCTCTCAAGGACTAATCAACTTATCTTTTGAAAGGTTTCACTCACGGTATCCTCATTGCACATTTCCAAGAGAAGAAGTCGGAGCTGGGTTGTAATGGATGGGATCCTTAATTGAGCTGTATGATGAAGTCGTATAAAACCAAATGGCATTTAATATTTGCAGTCAGAAATGACTCACGACCTGCGTAAATCACAGTTTTTGTGAGACGGAAGTGGCTCTTGTTATTTTCCTACCATATGCACACCGAGAGTTTCGAGATATATCAAGTCTTCGTTAACTGACAAGTCCAGATGGTCTGATTTATGTGGACGCTACAAAAGCGTGAATAGAGGGCATTCAGAAAATAAATAAATCGGCTCAGAAAATTTATGCGCAGTCAAAATGCTTTCCCGCCTCATGTCAGACAATAACGTTTCCACTGCGTAACAAAATTCGTTTCGAATCAACAGAGTAGCAATGGTGGCACTCTCTTGTAAGTCTTTCGTCAGCATAAGAACTGAAAACTGAGCAAGGGGCTGTAGCGTGATTAACACCACATTGTGACGTAATCAGGAGATGAGTTCTGGTGAATGGCAAACTTAATCAAACCCTCGTGTTCCTCGTCGAACGGCTTTGAATCCCTAACCCACGGACCACCTTTCCTTCGGTTCACCTCATTTGCAGCGTATGCATTTTCGCGTTCCCAATGAGTAAATTAGTGGCATTAACAATCAACAACCAAGTAGTAACGACGCTGAGTTGGGTGGTTGTGATGTTTTTTGCTGGGATGGCCACCCGCCAAATTCACTTCACCGAAGCCCTTATTGGAGGTGATTTTCAACCACTTACTCCTACCCACAGACTTAAGAGCAAATGGAGAAAAATGAGGTTTCCACTCGAGTAATTTTCTTGTTTTTTTTTGTACAAAACCATTTTCTGCAGTGTTTCCCTTTATCACTCCAATAAGTACTTTTAAACAAAATGATAAATAGCTGTAAATGCGATTTAAAAGTAAGGTTATTTGATAGTTAATGTCGACGCAGAGTTGTTGCTTAGATGTTTTTGTGAAATTAATCTTCAACAATGGCATTTGTTTTTCGAAAGTCTGCGGAACCATTCTACACTCGCATTGGATATCACTGGTCACTCTCACAGCTCACCACAAATGCCAACGACTTGCACATCTTGTTCGAAGACATAGAATAGAGAGGGCGTTCGGAAAAACGCCTTCACAGTTTGCGGTGGAAATGCAGGTAGTGGGTACTTTTTAGGTGTTTCACACATTTTAATGTTCATGGTTGGCAGAGTGAGAACAAACGATTTTTCCAACTTCACTTCATCAGTCCCAAATCTTCCGATGTGAAACACAATCAATCATTGCTCAGATAATTTTGTATTGAACTGGGATATGCATAAAATTTCTGGCCTAATTATTTGGCCGCAGTAGGAAAATTAAAATTGTAGATACAAGTCTTTTATGACTGATGGAGGTCAATTTGGATGTCAGTAATTGCCCTTGCTCTTGGTGGATGGTAGAAAAAGACTCAATACCTCTTCGTAGTTTGCCGCACACACGCACACGAAAATCGCTATACATCAACTCTCTCCATCTTGCCTCGATTTTCTTCTCACGAAGGCCACCCATCTGATTTATGCTGACAGAGGCCTCGACTACTTGGGGCGCGAGTGCGCGTGCGAAAAAGTCTGGATAACGGCATTTGCTGCTGCAGGCATAAGGAAAAGCAGTGGCCTCTTTAGGGAATTTTTGACCAGAATGCCACTCGGAACTAGTACAATCCGTTTTCCGTTTCAACTATTTGAATCAATAGCTTCCAACCGACATCGGAAGTGGAATGGCGATTTTGCCACCACTTACTATTGATGCGGGCGCGATTCGCCAGGCGGCCATAAATGGTTTCCCAGGTTCGGACTCAGTCAGCAGAAAAAAACATTTCCACTACGAATTGTTTTAAGTACTTTGCAAACTTGATCATCACATTGCATCTGCACAATTTAACGTTTAGGCTGGGCAAATAAAGTGACACGGCCTTTAGCACCACTATATCCTTCTGATGCGATGCATGAGTTTTGTTCCCCACCTTCCTATTAACGCTACACTTGAATTGAACAAAGGCCTGTCCAGCATCGAGTTACTAAAGACCCAGATGTCGGAACTTGCCTGTCAGTAGACTGCCAAATTTAAACCATTGAGGAAGGAAATTATGTTCTGACCTATTTTTTAAATCATGAGCGTATCCTAACTGTCTATGGAATTTCAGGCTCTCTTAAATACGAGCTGATAGTTATGTTTAAAGTTTGAGTAGATCGCAGCAGTGAATCGGGTGCAAACTTTGAAAAATTTAATCCTAACTTAAAAACCACAACCTAATCGCCATTAGTAACAATAGAGGTGTCGATGACATCGAGGTAAGGTTGAAGGAAAACGATTTTATGTGAAGCAGGGCAGGAGATGCACTTCTTCACACTTGTCCTTAAAATCGTCCATAACAATTGACATCAAGTAACGTGGAAAAGTTGATGCATATTTTGTCACCAGAATTGATGGCATTTGGATACGGGGATCGTCACCTGGCTGTTAATGGATGGTTCGGCATTGTAACCCTACTTCATGCATCCAATTCTATTGCCTAAGCGAGCACGTGGAAACCAGTCTAAGAATGCTGAAAACATCACAGTAATGCTAAAGTGTAATAAGGGGAATCTGATGCTTAAGGCTAAAATAAGTTCAAATTCCCGCTTCGAGTTAAGATTTTATACAACGTGGAGTGCAATTCTCACTCCCCAAGACGACAAATTAATCACGTCTTTTCATTTAAGCGCAGCGTGCATTTGGCCTACTCCAAAACTGACTGCAGTAGGGTTTGTTACAAGATTTGCGTCGGGATCTCATCCATTCTTGCTTACTTATTCGTGTTGAATGGCACATCACCATCTGCATTGGGAAGGAAACGTGCCTTCCTCTTCCTTAATAAATCTTTTCCTAATTTCACGGTTAGAACTTTAGGTTGCAGAAAAGGAGACATTAAAAAGCAGTAGTGCTTTCAATCTTCGCCCGTCCCTTGTGACACACTAATGTAGTAAAAGCCGTTCACGAAAAATGCCGTCAATTCCTTGACCCCTACCGCCACGTCCTCATCTATTTTGATATTGTACGTCACTGCGTTAGTACAAAGCTCTTAGCAGTAACACTCCACATCTCATCACTGCTTCCTATTTAATGTGGTGATGAAAGAAAAAAAATGTCAGCCATCTGTGCCCAAAACCGTATTCACCAACCCACAAGAGAACCCGGATTAATCCTGCCTGTTCCACATCCATACATGGACAGCGTTTATACTTTGTGGAGTCAAAGCGTCAATAATGGGCTCAGAGATCGCATTTAAGTCTATAGGAACATAACTAGGTGGAGTTACTCTAGAAAGCAAAGCTACTATATACTTTGGTCGCTACTGCCTTTCTCGCAGACCTCTGGAGCAGTGATGGAGCAAGATATGCATTCCGTTTTGTGCAACTTCTCAGCGTCTTGTGTCATTGTACTCATATGCACATCGTTTTTAGACATACTTTTAACTACTGCCACTAACAAAAACACCTTGAAGATTCTTTCTTTTTGCACAGTTGCTAGCAGGATCGTCTATTGCAATATCTGATCTAGCGGCTTACTCCTGTGGCATCCAATATCGCGTTGCCAAGTTCACATCACATATCACCAAACACGAGGTACATGGTGAATTTCTCAAGCACTTCTATAAAAACAATGGACTACAATTACAAATGTCGAATCAGCACTCTAGATTTGGTAGACTATCTTGAAGGACTTACATGTTGACACGTTAGGTTCTAAGAGGATGACTACATGGCATCCCTCAGACCCTTTCAACTCAATTTTCACGCACTGAGCTTTGAACGCCTTTGCACGAATGCCTTCGAATCGGCTAAGTTGCTCAAATTCGTTGAACCATGTGACAGTGATAGCATCATAATGCAATATTACATCGGCGAGAACACCATATCTGGATGTGATCAATCTTTGCAATCCCAAAGTTGTGAGTTAGGAAAGGTCTAGCGTCATTGTTAAGAGAACTGATCTCAAAAAATCCAAAAACACAAGACGGTTAACCTTTTGATTAACTGTAGCAGGATTTATTCACTTCAGGCACTAAATCCGGCATTTTGAAACTATCAAGACTCACCAGCACAAGTAAAGTGTTTGGAATATCTCTGTTCTAGCTTATTAATAATATGGTGCACAACTTAACTTTGATCACACTGTCTCTGCCATCGAGTTTAAGTGGTTTCACAATCAAGTTCCTCTCACTTTGTTGTACTATTGCACTAGAACCATTACATATGTATGTAGATGCTAGAATTTTCTTGAATTAAATGGGTCCTAAAATCCACATCCATTGGATTTCTAAAATAATTTCCGCACCTAACGTAGGTTAAATAAGTAACAGGGCGAAGTGAACAGACGAGACCTATACTTTGCCCACAAGAAGTTTATTCACGAAATAATGAATTCTGGCTGAGCACTCTCATTTCAGAAATATACTTCAACATTCCTATGCTTTAGTTGATATTCGTTTAAGAAATTCCGAGTTGTAGGTCATGAAAATTTAACTGAAGTTGTGATAAGAACTACAGCTATCCGAACGAGCCTTCAGGCTAGAATTGCCAGCGCTCCCCTTCTATCTTCATGATAATCTTCCTATGGTTATCTCAAAGACAAGAGACACTTGCCCAAGACCATAACTTAATGAATCCGCGTGCCAAACTGTATTCTACTTTCTTTCACTTCCACAGAATACGCACAAGAACAAATCTTTACCACAGGCCTCGGAACTTAGCTTCAAGTGTCCGGGAAAGTACCAATGTTGTGATAACACAACTTGCAATGATTTCAGAAACGGCCTCATTAATAATAACGACACTTCTATCATGAATTGTAGCCTCAAGTCTGGCAAACTGATGCTCAAAAGCTGCATACTTATTTATGCGCTGGAAAATAAACTAAACTAAAAATGAGGTTAGATGTTTAGAATAAAAATAATGGCCGAATACGATTCCAAGACGTTACCGCGACAAAACTTGTGCGACCAAGGTGTTATTTGAAAAATCAAATACTTTTGTAGAAATGTTCAGGGCCCATATTGCGAAGACGTTCAAATGATGTGTTACTTGCTTCCGTTCAGTAAAATTTACGCACCAGCACCTTATACAGTGCATTGGTTTGGTGAATAGGGTGATCTTTTTAGGAGGGCTGCAAACTCATTGAAATCGATAACACCATCATTATTTAGATCAGCTCCATTGAACAGTTCCTGTAAATAATAACAGCAATTGGATTGGAAAATATCACCCAACCTTTAATTCCTCCTCAGAAATGTCTTCATTAAGTTGTCTTGCAATAAGTCGAGTATCATCGAAAGTTATGCACTCAGCATCAGTTTGGCAGTAAATCTGGAAGGCCTTCACAATTTCTTCATCTGCAAAGTCAGCCAACATGATCTTCTCCACTATGCCAAGAAACCCTCTAAAGTCTAGATTTCCTAGTACAATTTTTAACTCCGAGGAAACGAAATATGAATGTACCAGTTTTTTTGGGGTCGTAACGCCGAATAATTTTTGAAATATCAACAGGTGTCAAGTTAATTCCAAGGGCTCGCACTACGATGGCAAGATCCTGAATTTCAATGATCCCAACGCCCTTCTCGTCCAGTAGATCAAAGGCGCACTTTATTTCGTCCTTTTGCTTAGTAGTAAAGTTATATTTAATTCCCCGGCTCGCAGAACAAGAAAGGAAACCAGTTTCCATAGGCAAGCTACAACGAATTTGACCGGTAGATTATTATGACTCGCTAAGAAATTCATCAAAACTAAAGGAGAAAACATTAAAGTGATCCACGAAAATTAACACAAGCTGAGATTAAAAAGCAAAGCTAACAAAGGACACATTTGTTGAACGAAAAACATTTGCCATTAAAATGGCAAGACGATAATCGAATAAAATCTATTAGTACAAAGTGCCGCGACGGGTGGTAAGGAGAGATAAAGTTACTCTAACACCTTCTGGAGACAAACGATTGCGGTGAGGTGGCTTATTTCTGCAATAGCAACGTTCAAAGAACGCCTACGATTCTAGTGGAAAGTAACAATCGAAAACTCGAAAGGTCAGAAATAAACACTCAAAATGTATTATAACAAAAAGTAAACTTGAAATTATTTTTCTCTTAAAAGAATTCGACAAGTTAAAAGTATTGCCTACAAAATTTTGTAAATTTAATATTTTAGTTGAATAACGTAGCACATTAACAGGAGGTGTCCCTGCTCACTCATTGTTTTACAAGACAGCTTGATTTCAGTGCCATGCCGAAAAAGCAATATCCCTTGCGCATGTACCATGTTTTTCCTTGCCTACAAAAAATTCTTTGAATACTGCATAAAGTACCCAAAAGGTAAATATTTAGCACAAAATAGCAGAGGCCATGAACTACTAATCTGCAATTATAGATCCTACGACTCGTTTAGGGTTTCGCAATTAGTTTTGATCGAAGCAAAAATCATAATAATATTGCCTTTAATTTCGGCTAGCTATAAAAATTCTGGTAAAGCTAGGTCATGGATGCTTTATTTCTGACATCCAACCCTCAAAATGGATGCACATTTTTGAAACCATTAAGCTTAACATTTTTAAGACCTAATTCCATTTACCATTTGGTAGCCTTTTTGTGACTGGACAACCTGTGGTTAGCTTAATTAAGCATCAAAGCTACAAATTGAGTAATCGATAATGCAAAATTGGGAAGAAAGTCATTTTTCTTGCCCACTTTCAATGGGTATAACTTCCACTTTGGTCCACAGAGTAGGCTCAACCAACCGGCACCTTGCAGTTCATGGTGAACATTATCCTTATGACTCAGCTTTCCAATCAACGAACTCTACGTGGCTGTGGATGGGAAGCCACTAATCCATTCCATCAGGGTTAAGTGCATTTAAGAGTTCATTTAGATTTAGATTAACATATAGAGACAGAAAATTATGCATAAAATTACGTCTTTCCATGGTCATGCGTTTAAACCTTGGCCCAAAACCAGAGTAGGGGGGGAAAGTTTAACCACAATGGAATCATTTGCAAAGTATTTTGATTGTCGGTAGCAAATTATGGAAAGGATGTTAAAGCCAGACGTTATTCTTACTCCCTTTATTGTAGTGCGCCTTGTTTGCACCAATAATATGCCACATAAAATGCGAACCATAATTGAAACCATTAGAAAATTGGATATGTTTGCCTAATCACTGTTTTCCTTACACCGAGACTCTTTTGTAAAAACGTGAAGGCATCATACCTAGGGGAAAAGTGGACGTTGTACCTTTGACTTGATCCGGAGGCCAGCTCACTCAGAATAGGCAGAAGGGGCTTCAGTCTGCAAAAAAAGAATTAAACTGAGATTTGAATGCACGGTTTCTAGACTTTCGTGGGTCGCTCTTTTAATCAACCATGCAGCTTGTTACCTGTGGTAACTTGCATCAGATTGGGTAGTTAACTAGTGATATATATTTCTCCATAAATGTCTGGCGCTTACTTTAAGATTCGTCTGACCCTTGTACGCATGGGCTGACCTTCAAGCCAATCTCAAGTTTAAATTATTTGCTCTTTCTAAAATATGTATTCACCTGCGCTTACCGCCTTCTTCTGCCCTGTGTTAAGCGTCGGGGCACCACGCTGAATATACGTATTCAAGGAGAAGGGAGAATATAAGGCTTTCGCAAGAAAAGTACAAGAATGACCACCACGTATATAAGCAGTCAAATAAAAAAGTTGCTGCACAAAGCTAATGCTATCTTGTCGAGCCATCGTCATGGCAAAACACTGCTCTAAGGAATGCCTAATAATCCTCTACCTTTGTGTCTGGTTGCATACTAATCTGCTATACTATGACTGATAAAAAATACAAAAACATTACTTGCTATTTTTGATAATATGGCTTTTAAAGCAATTGCGCTATTTTTTTGTGAAGTATTTTGCACTTCTTTTACATGCAACTTTTTGTTTCGGTCCACTATTGAATCCCATTTTATTAGCACTTGCATTGGAGGCTCTTAAGAATACACACACATAATAATTTAAATTTGTTTTATATGTCATCTAAAGTGCCCGATTTTTGGAAATAAGCGAGGCCTTGATTTTATTGGCTGTTGGCAAGTGTCGGTTTCTTGGGCACGCGCAGAAATGTCTGGCTTCGGTACGGGTGTTTCACTTAAAGGCTCAGGTAAAGATGATGTTATTGGTGGTTTCACCGTTGTACGTAATAAAATTAAGTACAAAAAGAAGCGAGTAAGGGTAATTCTCATCTAATTGTGTTACGAAGATCGAGGGGATCCTACCATTTTGGCTTTCGTCCCCCGTTGGATGTTCTGATATGCTTGCAGATGGCATTCCACTAAAAAAATTTGGAAGGATTAGTGAGAAACTGCGTAATAACTTGGTGCAAATGGGTATAAGTAGGCTCTTTCCGAGTAGGTCGAAGATCTCTTATTTGCTTCAGTTCAGAGCGCCGTTATTCCTAATATTTTGGATTTTTACGAGAATCGAGGCTGTCATTTTTATGGCCAGCCGCGAGATGTCTGCATATCCGCTCCTACTGGCAGCGGTAAGACTTTGGCATATTTAGTGCCCATCCTTCAGGTAAAGTGATTTATTGTTATTCTTGGTTAGCTACTTAGCACGTGTAAAATTAGAGTCATTCGAGCTATTGTTGTTCTTCCAGTCCGAGATCTGGCTAAGCAAGTGGCCGAGACGATTCATCACCTCATTCATGGCATTTCACTCCGTGTAATAGTTGTTAATACTTTTAACTTCATAGGTTGTTCTCCTCACCGGTGAGGACAGTTTTACGTCTGAGCAGGACAATTTACTTACTACGTAAGTTAGTGCCCTACTTATAACGTAAAAGAAATTCCGGGGATCTTATACTGCCTGACATTATCGTTTGTACACCTGGGCGCCTTGTGGACCACATTTACAATACTCCGAACCTTTGCCTCGAGCATGTTCGATTTCTTGTAGGTGTAAAGTATGATTCAAGGTATTAACACGCTCCAATGTGCTCTTACGTACAGTCGGACTCATTTTCTATAGGTTATTGATGAAGCCGACCGTGTTATCGTCGAAGAAAAACAGGACTGGTACAACGTTTTTGAAAGGGCGGTTTATGGTGTTCAAAATTTGTCTGATTCAAAAGATGGGCTGAAACGGTCATTTCCTCTCCCAACCATTGAGTCGCAATGTTCGGTTACTCCTTTCACATTGCAAAAAGTTGGTTTTTTTGGTTGTTCCTGTATTTTGCTGGGCACTTTTCCATTAGGTGTGAAGTTTCGGCTGCTGAATATTGCATGAAGCAGTTTACGTACTAACTGTATTGTTTTTATATCTACACTTCCAGATATTGCTTTCGGCAACGCTGACCCATGATCCAGAACCACTGAAACGATTCCGCCTGAACTTCCCTCGTTTATTTTTGGCGTCGGGTCGACCAATGGAACATAAATTGAAAGAATCACTTCAAGAAAGTTACATAGAAGGGTGTTGCAACAACGATATGCTCGTAACTTCTGATAAGCTTGAAGTAATGAATCATGACTCAACCGGAGTTAGAAAACAAGCTGGCGATAGTAGCATTTGTGGTGTTGGTGTCTTTTCGACGCCAAGTGGACTGAAAGAGTTCTTTGTTGAATTGGCTGAAAGACAAAAACCTTTGTTTTTGGCTTATCTCATAAGGAGGATGGGACATGAAAGAATTCTTTGTTTCACCAACTCTAGAGAAATAACGAAAAGATTGGCAGTTTTGATGTCCAATTTTAAAGGTGTCAAGGCTGCAGCATTAAATGCCGGTATGCCACTGCAAAAAAGGGCTCGTCTCCTTTCTTCTTTCGCTAGTGGTGAATTCCAGGTTGGTTCCTTTTTGTTTTTGTTCAGTGCAGTGCAATAGATCGTCAGGTTTTTTAAAATCACATAGAGCACTTGTTATTGGTAAGCTCACTCCAGCCCCATTGTGTTTGAATTTACTCAGAGCCTTTAACCATTAACACAAGACCCTTTAGTTTAGGTGGAAAATTTTGGGTCCTTACTTTTTTTTACTTCCAGCTATTGGTATGTACAGATGCGGTTGCCCGAGGTATAGATATTGAAGATGTTTCTTGTGTGGTATCCTATGAAGCCCCACAATCAGTCAGGACATATGTCCATCGTGTGGGTCGCACAGCCAGAGCCGGTAAAACTGGTCAAGCGTTTACGCTGCTTCTTCGAAATCAGGTAGTGTGTGGGAGTATCTGAAGACCCTTACTTTAGATTACTTATGGCTGACTTTAACGTACTTAACTGTCTTTTCATAGATACGATACTTTAAGTCCAGTCTCAAATCTGTCGGCAAACGTGCCAAGAATTTTCCTATCCATAGTAGCCAATTAAGAACCTACAAAGCTACCTACGAGAGTGCACTGTGCCACCTTGAAAAGGAATTTAAGGTATTTTGCAGATCTGCACGCGAAAAGTTTCACACTAGAACGGTGTGGGTCTGGCTGGTTTACTGGAATATTAGTAATGATGATTTTGTTTTTTTTTGCGTATTTTAAGCCTAAGTACGTGCTTTCTCAGCACCTGTTGTTTTGCTTAGATATGTACTCTTATCCCGCCACAGTGAGCTGTTCTCTTTTACATCTTAGTTGAATTGTTGTTGTCATTGAAGTTTAGTCTACAAAATTGATGCCCCTAATTGTGTTTCTTTCAGGTCAAACCTAAAGATGCTTTTGGTGTTGCTACGGTGGTTGATGATGAAAGTCCAACAAAGCGGTGAGAATGTCAGCCAAAGTAGGAAATTGGATGGTAAAAGCCCAGAGAGAAACATCTCGAAAAGCCAGGATATTTGTACATTTACAATTATCTCTACATGCGTGTTATTAACGTCAGTAAACTAAATTCGGTGTGCTGGCTTGTTCTGTTTTGATTTTCTGTTATCGTTTATTGACTAACCCTGAATCGGAACATGGTTAACATCCGTTACCCTTTTCTGTTTCAATGTCAACCTTTCCTGGAATGGGCTTTCGATGGGAAGCTGGCATTAATCACCTCTGAGGTTCGTAACCGAGAAGCTTTGTTTGGTAATGGGTGGCAGTTGTCCAATCTCAGCTACAGTAGAAGTGCAATTTCTATTTGTGTAGAGGATCACTTTAATACAATTTGTTTCCGATAAGGTGCTCAAAAATGGTATAGCAACTTACGAAGGTATACCACATTTGTCAATGTTCTCTGCTTTAAGGCTACCTTTTACGACGCAAAGTACGTATGCCCAATCTAAATACAAATGTCTCCACTTTTACAGGCCTCTATAGATGCATAAACTGATGGGAGTGGAAGTTATCTTCACCCTCTTCCTTGTTCTTACGCTGGCGGACGATCCAGCCAAAGGTATAGTGTCTAATGGTATAATTCTCTTCATAAAGCACTCCAGAAAAATATTCTGTGCGATTTGGAGCAGAAGGCCTTGCATTTGAGGCTACGTTGTTCTCTTATGCCAACAACTTCTGGAGCTTGGGATCAATGTTCAGTTAATGTTGATCTTTCTCGAGGTAGTTAAATGCAACAAATTGAATTGTCTACAAGGAAAAATTGTGGAATGCAAAAATATTACTACTGCTCTTAAGGCATTTATGCGAATCCGTACGAGCTGGCGGACAAATTGCCCGAAGTGAAATTTACGATTGCAAGGAAAGCTACACGTGAAGCAGGCCGACTTTCGAGGTTCTTTTTCTCCAAGAAGAGTGTTGAGTCGGAGAGCAGGCAGGAGATTTCTTTAAACGCCTCGGAGGTAGACATCGAGGCACCGAGCTGGAAATCAGAACCCACACGATGGAAGTTTGCCCTTGACTCACAGCGACAGATCTGGGGCTCCAATGCAGCGATCGAACTCAGCATTCCCTTACATCTGCGTTACAAGTATGCACGGTGGTATTTTGTGTAACTCTCATTCGCTTGTTGTATCACTATTTAAGCATTGGGATTGCGTTTTAGGGCTAAAAGTTTTGCTATGATTCCAGCATTTGACTTAGCAAAGTAGGAAGCTGAATCATTGGTGACGCTTCAATTCGATGGGCAAATCAGTTGATTCTGATTAAATTTTAGCCTCCCGTCACGTTCAGGCAAGCCAGGAGGTGGAATAGTTTCGCGCACACTAATTGATTGCTCTGGAAAAGTGGCAGGAAGTTATAGCGGACAACACAAGGCTACATCACCCTCGGGCTGCTCTTCAGATCTCTTATTGGTGATGCCACTTACTCTGATTTTGCTGGTCGTTGGGATCATCATTCTTCTTCTTCACTAGTCGCTTCACCAGTAGTATTCGCATGCACTCAACTTTCTCACTCATATTTCTAACAGCTACCACTGGTGCTTACATGTCCGTGTAGGTGCGCAAATGCACAGAAAAGTAAGGACTACTTCTATGCGCCATTCTCCTGCCAAAATTTCTATACCCTAGTGGGGCTTGTTGAAACCCGGCAAAACGCGGCCTTGCCTTCCTCCAAGGGGTAATTAGGACAAGTTTGAAGCCTAGACGTTTGGAGCTATCTAAGATAAAAGCAACCTTCCGACCTAATGAGGACTTGCCTATTCAGGTTTCGCTCCAGTCTACGAGTTATGGCATCATGAACTTGGTACCATTTAATGATCAGCCTGTAGAAAAATAATAAGATAAGATTTTTGGTTTTGAAGTCGCTTATTCAGTAAACACTGTTGTGCAGTATTCTGAACTCGGATTCTTTATTGTTTTGTCAACACCAATGTGTTCCTTAAGAGTGATTTTGTTTTCAATAAAAGATGGATAGTCTTACGGAGGAACTAGATTCCCAAGTCTATGCATAACTAGGCGGCAACTACAACGTCGAGCGTATGAATGGCAGGGGCCACTGCTTTTGCACAGGTACCACTTATTGGAAGATGAATAAATTGAACGTTATATGGAAAGGCTTGAGTCAAAGGCTCAATGAACTTGGTACTTCATGTAGAGACACATAAGAGAACTCCATGCCAATGTGGTAATGGGTAAAATATAAGTAGTTGGTGAAAGGAAATGGGCAGGGTCACCTGGTCGTTGAGCGTGCCTCAAGATGATTTCAAAACCCTTAAATTGAAGGTCCAACTTTGGACAGTGAGGTGGAGGGCTCCTGGGGGAGCTGCAAAAGGAGGTTCACAAACTTCCCGATTTCCCTTCCCGCGTGCTCTCGTATTCGGTTCAGATCGGGTTCTATCAAAGAGTTAAATGATCTACTAAACAACGATAGTTTTAACACTTGATTTGCAATCGGATATAGAAACCATTAGACACGCGTTTATCGCGCTGGCTTACTGTTTGTGGGGAGAAAGCAAAACGGTGAACATGATAGATTCACGGTGCTGCTTGACTGGATGAAAATGAATACACGTCTTTACTCAATAGTATTTACCAGTTTTCTAAATTTGTTAGTGAAGATTGAGTACTATAAAGTGGGTGAGGTGGAGCACAACTAGTGTTTAAAAGTTTAGTCACTGCCTGAAAAAATTACCATTAGTCTGCTACATCTGACAACTTGCAAGTGAATAGGCAAGCGGCGTACGCGTATAGTCAAAGTTCGCATGAGGATCTGGGCGTTCGAGCGCCAATGCCTCTATCTCTGCATAGTGCCTCTGAAGAGACGGATTCGGTATTGCCTCGGGATGGTAGTTGGTGAGCATCTTCTTTACTATCATCTTCGCCGCTTCCACTTCCTCTGGTGCAGCTTGAAACAGTGGTGAAAACAATAACATCTGTGGGCGGCTTGCGCGTCTACGTTATCGTCATAAACCACTAAGTTTAGTTTATGGCTAAACTCGATGTAAATACGTTACTGTTCAACGCTGTTTCAACACCGATACTGTTGCGATGCTTTTGAAAACGTTGATTTTTCGGCAAATCTTGAATGCAACGGCCTAATTATCACAATTTTCCTAAAGTTCGGTAGATCTATTTACAGTCGATGATATGAGGGATGCTGTATTGGGTGTTAAGTCATATGATATGAGTATATAGACAACATAAGTTATAGTGGGATCGTTTCTTTATGTGAGCTACAAAAGGAGCTGAGGGCCTGCAATTTAGTGCAACGATATTGACATTAATACCGTTGAGGGTAAAGCTCACGCAATTTCGGCTAATTAGAGATGGCGAAACGAAAAAAAACGTACCTAGTTGGTGCTTAGGCATCCTAAAACGTCTAAAATCCTCCCGATATGGAAGATAGAGGACGTGAAATCCTGAACTTGCAACTTGTGCCTCACATTCATCTATTTCCTCTGTCTGCAACATAAAAGTACATGTAAACTATAATAAAATGAATCAACGCAGATTAATAAGCAAGGAGAGAAATTACTTGAGGAACGAGTGCAACTAAATGTGGTGACATGCCTTGACGGTGCACGTAGAGAGCTACAGCAAAGACTCGTTTCCTCAGACAGGCAGAGAGAAGCGTCGTAAACCACAAGGTGCTCCCTCTAGCCATGCCTTCCTCAGGAAAGAGGAATTGGGCTGTCTTCATTTGGTGCCAGAGTTTCAGCTTTCCAAGCGACTTGAATCCAAGCAGATGAATACCTTACGCCAAATAAGGCAACGACTTAATATGAACGAGTGGAGACTTGGTCATCACAAGTCTACTGAGACATGAAGCTATGCAGAGATGTGTTTCTGTAAAATGAACCTTAAAACAAGTCTTCAAAGTAAATCACCCTTACCCGCTATAGCCACTTGCCTTTGGCGTCCAGAAAGCTCACTTTTCTCAAAGCAGACTATATGAGTTCCAACATGAAGTCCTCGAACAATATCTTGTGGCATTACGAGATTTTCAATGTCCGCCTTTACGCCATGGAACTGCTGCTCACCTCTCCGGGCTTTGTAGAATCGACGCTTCACTGTGACAGGCTCGTTGGTTTTGGCATAAACACGTACCTTATTTAATGGACAGTCTAATGATAAAATTTTCAAATTGGGAAGGAAAATTGCCAATTCATAATAAAGCACGAATGAATTCGAAATGAAATAATCCGTAGTATGAAGAACATGGGGATAAAAACTGGGCCAAATTAGATGCTCAAATGCCAAAAAAACATTATAATCGGAAGGAGCGTTTAAAAATGCCTCTAAATACAGGAATGCATCCACATAGGGGAGTGGCAAAGCCGGAGTTTTGTAAGTGTTGGTTTATTTAGCGGTCTTTTGGCCACAGGGCATTAATTCCGAATGGTTGATCGGGCATTAATGAGGCCTGTATGACTCAGAAAAAAGTGCTCTTGACTGCATTTCATTTGATGTCATTGGGGTTTTATTGCAGCGGCAACTCCTTTCCGACCTTACGATGCAATGTGAATGCCACAATCAGTTAAAAATCATATGAACTAACGTATAGTTTGATCTGAGGTACAGTTGTATGTGATAAAGCACAACAACAAGGCAAGGGTTCTCGAATGCCTATTTCAAATGATAATGTCCATAAGAACTGCTGAAACATCCATGAGAACCGCACCTGTCTAGGCTGCAGGACGCGTCGCACAGTACAGTAGACAGCAACACCAAAGGCAAGGGCGGGAATCCGGACGAAAGGTTCAGTAGCGGTGACTCCTCTGATCAGTGCTGTGGGAGTCACTGGCACAAGATAGAGAGGTAGACAACCCATGCGACGACGTCTTGGTTCCTGTAATCTTTCCCTGAAATCCAAAGAACCCCTGTGGTACGTGATATGAGCATTCGATTTCCACTTTCACGGTAACAACCCAGTCGTGTCGCGCCTCACTCGAACGAACCTGTTATTATTAGTCGGTTACAACCTACTTATTGGAAGAAGACTTCAACAATGTCATTGCATGGGGCTAATGAAAGAGGCACAACGAAACTACGTAAAACCGAGCTCACAGTCATCGAGGGGAAGTGATGATGACAAAAAGTTATGCATGGCATATGATCTGTAATTCGGTCATTTATAGGCAGCTACATTTCAACCAAACCCTCAAAAAAAAACCTGATTAAGGCCTTAGTATGTCACAAAATACGATGTTTTTTATTTGCACCACTAAGAGTTTACCATCTAAGTCAGTAATTGGTCATGCACTCCATGATATTCAGGCGATAATCTAAAATTATCACATCCACTTTTCATTGGTTATAGCCTAGCAAAAGTTCCAGCAAAGGGAGTGCCATCGTGTTCAAATATCTACTGGATTGCTAAGTCAGACAGCTGTGGTAGCAACAATTTTAGGCAACAAACAGCACAATGACATTGATTCTGTGTAAAGCATTGATCATTAGGAATTTTGGACAAACGCTTCCATGAAGGCGATGCGACTCTGTATGATTTAACTCTGTCACTTATCTCGGAGTAGGAATTGCCGCTGTATCTCAAATGAGTTTCGGTTTATTCAGCTCATAATCCTCAATTTATAAAGTACAAAACAGCGAGCATTTCATTTCGCCGAGGTCAAAAGTCAAGGGGAAATTAACACTAACCAAGTTAATAGCTTATTCAAATCGTATTTTGATTCCACAAGGAATGAATCAATTTCGGTCGCTGATGGGAGGAGATGCTGAAACAGTTTAAAATAAAATAGTCATAAAAAGTGGGAATTTTGGATAAGACGCATTTCTAATCGTAGAATTGTTATGAGAAGAGAAATGATTTTACCTTATAGAAAAGGTCTATTTTAAAATCGACGTCAACTTGTTGAATGGGCATAAGTACTATTTCTACCCCGCTCTGGCGTAAGTCATTCGCCTTGGAAATCGCCTGACGCTAAAGACATAAAGGTAACATGGAGACTAGAGAAGTAGAACAAAAAAGAGCAAAATACAATCCGAACCTTTAGATGGATATTGTTTCGAACTGGATCAGGGTCGTCCGTCAGCAAAAATATGCGTTTATAGCCCAGAGACTTCTCCCTAAAAAGTAACAAACACAAGCTAGATATGAATGGCGGCTCAGGGAAAACTGAAGATTTTGCCTTTCTAGCTAATCCGAAATTGCATGCTTGATGAGGAAATGTATTAGTAAAATATGAGAACGCTGTTGCCAAACAAAGACAGTCAAAAGCTTTTGACAACTTAAGACAATCTCAATCTGACTGAAAATGAATCGTGGCATGACTATTCCGGATAGTTTGGATTTTTGAATTGGAAGTCGAAAAATCTGTAGTCAGAGACGGATGTTGGAACTAACGGAACATAGAGAATGTCGGAATTCACGAAGTATAAATTACGCGTTGTTGAAAATGTTTTGGCAGACCCAAAGTGCCTCGTGAATGGGATAGCTTTCCCATGCAAGTAGGCGCCCATAACACTCGATAAAGTGGCTTGAGGACATCTCACGAATTTTCTCGATTGCGAGGATACGCGGTGCATCGACCGAACCAAGATTCTGTTACGATGTAAATATTGAAAATGAGTGAAAGTTTGCAAGTCAGTGCATATGACTTCTACTTACACAAAATTTACAATAATACTCGGCTCAATTAAATAGTGCGATTTAAGTAGAAATTCCTAGAAGTGCTTTTTTGAATGAATTACCTGCAAAATGTTCACGCCTCTAGAGTCCGAGGAGGTCGATGTGCCCTGCAAGATAAACGGTACAACTAAGCAGTAGTTACTTCCTTGAACTGAAATGAGATTTCTAAACAGCAAAATATTTTGACAATATATCATTGTGTTGTAAATAAGTATGAAGGAAATGAGTAGTAGCATGTCCTGACTACAAAGTTTGCGTCCATGAGAACCCATGAAGCTTCACGAAGCGAATTAGCGATTAATTTTAGCTCTTGACCGGAAAAGCCTCACTGTGCATCAGAATTACAAATGCGAAAAAGCTCCTACCGTCCTCATGAGTACCAGTCCAACCATGTCATCAGAACTGCTGAGAGCCTTTTTTTGCATGAACTTCTCGTAGAGAAGAAGAGCCAACTTGAGACCAGTGCCGGCACCCTCCTCAACAGGGACCTCAGGCAACTTTCCGCTGACCATGGTGTTTGTGCAATCAACCAGAAATATTACACTGTCCCGTGCTGCCGAAAACTGCGAGGAAGAACGTTGGAAAGTGCAACCATACGATAAGTGATAAGTGAAATAAGTGGAAATGGCATTTTGACCAATTCAAAGAAGATAGACGAAGCATGCTGAACATTAGGGACAAACAGTTAAGCTACCTCTCAATGTTGTAATGATCTATGTGATTTAGTATTGCATACGAAAACTATGCTTAAGCAAAAAGTTTCGTTGTGCATTAGTACCCTACTTTTACCCAAAAAATTATTCGTTTTTCGAGTCGAGCATATGCGTTGTGGATGAAGTGGTGTACGCTCATACTACCGAAATAGTGAAGACTAAGACACGACGGAATGGAGGGCGACGTATACATAATAAACAGGACTTTTTCCAAAGAATGATTTCAGTATCAAATACCAATTCCTTCGATCCGAAGGGCCGTTTCATTGTTTGGCCTATATTAGACGTACGTACGTACTAAATTTCTTTCAAAAATGCAACTACACTCATAAAAAGTGGAACTGGTCGTATGCACATATGTGAATTAAAATAAAAATAATCATCGTGTATGCCTGTTAAAAATCTGGGATATTGTGCAAAGAGAGTACAGCGATGCCCACCCATTCAGAATTGTCCAAATCATAATCGTCATTTTGAAGTTCTGAAAAGACGCCGTCATCCATTAAGATGAGAGGTAGAGAGCTAAATGAGAAAATAATAACTGTACGATAAATTTGTAAAAACACAGATAAGGCACCAGCCTGTAAAATGAAAATTCATGCTCCTGAGAATATTCATAATTTCAGACTGGAATTCCTGTGGGTTAGCATATATAGAGATCGCTAATATTATGCAAGAAGTTGAAAGTCTTGTTCTTACTGTCAGAAGCTGCTAGGTAAATACTAGCAACAAAGTCGATTGCGAATTACAGAACGGCTTTGGAAATATGCACCCATCCTATCGCCACTTAGTCCCACTTCCCAAGAATAAATGCCCAATTCGATAGAAGTCAACTCAATGATCTCATGGCATGATTATCATAAAACACGGTATCCAAAAGAGGACACTATAGTATGCAATTAGAAGCGAGATTGTATGACAAAGAGAATGTATATTTTACTAAAAAAGGAGCATAGTCAAGCATAGGAACATCGAAAAGAAGCCATGATGAAATACCAAAGAGCGCAATTGCTTATGGGTTAAGGAGTCCGAGAGCTTGGTAATACCATTCGACAGCTCTCACAAAATTATCTTTAGAGGCTGCAGGACTCTGAATGGGATGCGCCTCAGTGGGGAAGCATAGGGTCTGACACATTGTCTCTCCCGCTCTTTCACCTAAGTGAGCTCGCAGAGCGCGCATGAAGGAGATCCCCTACAGAGGTAATCGGATTTTAATTATGTCTAACAATGTAAAGTAGTGAGATGAAGGGTGAAAGAACAGCGATATAAACCTGCTCATTCGGCACTCGTCGATCTTTTGCACCAATGCACATAAGAATCGGGACAGACCACTTCGACGAGACATGAGTAATTGGAGAGCAATTGACGAGACGAGCTAAGTGGTCGGGATCGGTGGGACAGAAATTTGAGACGAAGATACAATCACGGCAAAGGTGATCAGGATGTTGAGGATCGGCAACTACATTGTCCAAACCGATGCCCGCCTCAGTCCAACACCAGTCGGGGATGTCGGTGGTGCTGAGCATGCTCACTAGGTTTGTCACTGGGTTACGAGCCACTACAGCGCGGTATAACGAAGCATAGCGACCTGCCAAATGTAACACCAAAAAGCCACCGTGAGAGCCTCCAAGTAAAACACACGGCAGATCGGGGTTACTCAACTCGCACAGAGCCTCTTCAGTGGCCTAAAATATAAATTTGGCAACAACATAGAAGAAACACTCCCTTTTATCCGCTTTGAGAGCTAACTTGAACACAATCGGCCACGTCAATGGTGCCACATCTGCCGGGGAGTGAATAAATGCTGCAGTTGCCATATCCAACAGAACCACGGTAGTTTACAAGAAGGCAAGCAAAACCAGCAGCGACATAAGAAGTCAGTAGCGACAACCATTCGGCGGTAAAGGCAGAATGGGGACCGCCATGAGGTAGAACAATCAGGCCACGAATGCTCCTCCAAGTAACCTCTTGATCCGCGAAATCTTATAAGCACAGAGAACGGAAGCCCGTTTCTCAGGATATAGTGAACAAAATCATTTTTTTTTGACATGGACATACGAGAACCGCCAGTGAACTGTAACGAAGGAGAGTCTAGTAGAGGATAAACAAGAATGGACTCAAAGCGTGCAACACCAAAACGTGTATCCTCTGTTTTGGCTGTATGCTCGAGCACTTTCCATGCGAGTCCCTTCAAATAAGGCACCATGGGCCGCTCATTTCCGGTCAGATTAAGACTGAGCCAACTGGATGCAATAAAAATATTGAACACGGTATCTTACCATATTTTGGTAACGCTTTGACTTGAAACTTTTGCAACAGCAAGAAACTTTGGGACATTCGGCGAGCTAGCACTAACAATCAGCACATCATCAGTTATGTCCATCAAGGTGACGGTTCCATAACCACCACCGTTCCCAACATCAGCTAGAGGTGATGGGAAACGAACGATTCGATATGACAAACTTTGGTCCAAAGCAACATAGATTAGAGCCTTTTCCGCACCCCAAATGGTTGACAAAACAACTCCTCTGCTGTCAGCCGTCCAACATCTTTCAGGAACCCCATCACAAAGGTAAAGGCCTTAAATGTAAGAAGGAGTTGGACAAGGAAAAAATTCCGATAAAACACTGTGAAGCTGAGCAATACATTGGGACCAAATACCTGGGAAGTCTGAACGGTCCTTTGCCATAGCAATAGGAGGAATGATAACCTCCGATTTCGACTGGTTTGGAGGCCAATCCTGGACCAGCATCGCAAAACATTGTCCATGCGGTCCACCTGCTGGTATTTCGAACCAAATTAATTTTGAGCCATCAGGAGAAAAACGCGGCCACCGTGCACCATGATTGTCATTACTAAGGCATTGTAGAGTCGAGTTCTCTAAAAAAGCAAAAGATGTAATACAATAGTACATAGACGTTAACTAAAAGTAAACCTCGCCGACCTGGCTCACCAAAATCCCAATACATTAAGCGAGCAACTCGTTGGAAACAGTATTTCAATCCAAGTCGATATGGATTGTTATCATAAGCAACAAAAATGATCCCATTTCCATTGGGGGTATAGTGAGGGTCGTCGAATGACCAATGCTTTGCTTCTGGAGCGAGCTTTTCCAACGTAGACTGGGTTGAAACAACTTCTTCTGTCTCCAGATTAAGAAAACAAACAACTGGACGCGAGATACTACTCAAACCCTCACCCCAGTTCTCCTCAAATATGAAAGGAGACCTTTCAGGAATACTTCCGAAGGTCTAAGTAAAGTTGCGAAAAAGTATTAAATTGATCAGATATCAACGCAGCGAAAATGAATAAAGAAAGCCTATTTCAAAGACACTAGCCGCTCGAGCGTAATTATCGCCATCAATCTCAGCAAAGCCATAACATAAGTGGACCGGATCATTTCCAACATATATACTAGTTCTAGATTTGAATAAAAACAGCATTGTACAAAACACACCGATTTAGGAGGATCTTTATTGTCAACGTTCCGGGAACATTCGGCTAGATATATGATCTTATTAGGATTTGAAGGGCAAAATCGACAAGAGGCGAATGGCACTGAGGAGTCGCCAGACCCATACACTTTTCCATGAACAGCAGGCAAGTCTCTAGCTTTTTCGGTAGGCAATTGAATTGTCTTTAATCTTTTTCCGCTTTCTGAGCAAAACACATGAACAAATGTTCCAGGAACTGGCGCAGAAGCTTTCATTGCCTCTGAGTCGCCATTATTACCACCTGGGAGAGCATACGCAGCAAAAATAACACGAAGAGGACCATGCTCAATGTCCCACAAAAGGTCTTCAGTTTTCGATAGCTGTGGGGAGCAAGAACTAAGAGATGTCACTGTCGCCGAAGAGGAGAACAACAGTTCTGGTGCACCGAATCGGTCCCTAAAGAAAATTTGATATTCCTGATCCATGATCAAACGATCGTTCCGATAACTGTCAACCTGTTCCCACTTAGAGCAGATGCTATACTTCGCCTCAGTTCCCAATAGACCTCGTTTTATGCGAATTCTGGCAGACAAGGGAGCCGGCAAGCAGGAAAAATGGGCAAAAATACTACTTGCCCATTTTCTAAAATCCCCTCTTTCGAAACCCATGGTTAAGGAAAGCACACCTCGCCTAGTTATCTTGACCTCTAAGGTGCACCAACCAAATGAGTATTAAGAGTAACAAAACACTTAACCTGCAGTCAAAGTTCAACCCTACCAGCGAGGAATGCAGAAAATTATGATACCGCCCGTTCGATGACAAGAGTCCGGACCAGGGCCGGTAAATAGAATAAATTCGTGTTATTTTTTACTTTAGGGAACAGGTAAATGTAACACAATGCTTACATTCTTGTATATGCATATTTTATTGATTCTGGACCGTTCAGGGAGTATAAGATTGTAAATTTTTAGGCGAAAAAATTTACGCGCATACGAATTGCGTTACCTGTTCGATACTGCACAAAATCATATTAGATGGACAAGGTGTTTTCGAAGACTTACTACTTAGTCCACGCAGGTATAAAACACCTTCTAATTAATTTTCTTTAAAGGTCAGTCTAAGAGACAAATGTCATGGACTACGAATATTTTTGCCAGATCGTTGTTATGCTTATGGTGTAATGTGATTGAAGTTGAAATTAATGGAACTGTTTGTTTAAATTGCTGATTTGCTTTTTGATGTCGTAACGTAGCTGATGAGATGCGGGCTGCCGCTGCCGTTAGTCATGTACTTACGTTTCCTCTCGGCAATAACAGTCGCAAGAGGACTAGGCTAGACTACTTAACTGAAGAAGAAAAGGCTCTGAGGAGGTTTGTATTGCGTCGCTTACCTTCGTTCCTAGGAAACTTTTGAATCGCGAAGCTGCTCAGAAAGCCAGGGACAGGAAGAAGGACTCCATCCGCCTGATGGAACAAAGTATTCGTAGTCTTCAGTTGGAAAACCAATCACTACGTCAAACGATTGGCGTTTTGAAGCGTAAGTGTCAGGAGCAGGAAAATCGACTTCATTCAATGCATTGTCAATTGGGCTTGTTGACAAACGGCAGTCAGCTGGATAAACATGAGCAGATTGAGCCCTCTGAGTCAGCAGTGCTCTTCCCTCCGCAGCAGGGTTTGGTTCTCTGCGTTCTACTCCTAGTTTGCCTTTACTTTGTCAGCCTAGCCCCGGTTTCATTCAATCAGCCTATGCTAATGACTGCGGTGTCATTTTCCAAGACGATGTTGTTGCCGATATCTCCTCGGAAGTTACGATTGCATCACAACCTGCGGAAGATACTGCCTCCGAGGTAGATATCGCCCCGATTGTGTCTACTTCCTCATTGTACGCTGAAATTTACAAGTCATTTGTGGATGAAACTCTCGACCTTCCGTTAACGCCATCAAGTTCCGCTGATAGTATTGACGAGGTTCTCAAGTATTTGAACGATGAAGATTTATCTGGCGTCTTAACTAACGATCTCATTTCTCCATTACCAGTGCACCATCAGTGATTGGTGATTATTTGGGCCCTTGTGTATATATACTCCTACCCCAGAATCGAATCTGTCTCTGGACTTCGATCGCGTCATAATCTGGAGTGTAGTCCGCTCAGTCTTATTAATGCCGAGGATTTGGGCCGAGGCGTTGAGGTCCCAGAAACTGTCAACTGTGTCATTTTGTTCGCGAGTTTGACGAGATTCTGGTGGGGAATGAGAGTCTCCGTAGATGGGCGAGGACGGCGCATCTATGAGGCGGGGCGGCATCTTTCGGTTCGAGGTCGAGGGGTGGTGTTTGGCATGGTTCGGTCATGAGGTTGACGGGTATCTGGCGGTGGTGTGAATTCCGTCTCGACGTCGTGGTGTATGTCAAGATGGTCAGCTTCCGGGGTTGCAGGCGTGGGTGTCTCTTTCTCGACTACCGCACATAAACCTGCTGTTTTGGGGATCGTACTCTGGGCTGATGTGCATTTGCGCATTTTGTGCGGGGTTTGAAACTTGCGAAAATGCAGCTGTACTATTAGTTATTAAGACCATTAGTTTCGGTAACGTGTCCAAGGGGCAGGGCATTCTCTCCTACCGTAGACGGGTTGAGTGCTTTGTGACCATTCAGCCCCTAGGAGGCCTAGTGGAGGAAATGATAATGAATTGCGTGGTGACAGGTGTCTTGATTTTGCTCCCACCAAATTGACCTGTGCGATGTTCCGTTGGATGAATCGGATGGAAATTGGGTTAATTTTTATGATAAACTACGTGACACGCCCTTCATTGCATCATTGAGGTTTGGCTTTGTGGAGTTTACAATGCATAGATTACATGGTTTTATGAAATGGTATCCTAATGCCTTATAAATTCTCACTGAGAGGGGTGTCGGTCTTCAAAATTATGGGCGCATTGGATGGGCATTTGCACTAGCATACACACGTCGGAGTCACCCTAGACGTCTATGTAAACAGGAAGTGCGCTCTTCACACATCTCACCAAATGGTTCTCCAACGTATGTAAACCGTTTCATTCTTCGGATAGTGCTAAATCGTTCAGGCCAGGCACACAAGGTTACTTGCGCCGGAAAGAAACAATTTTTTTCACACTGTCCAATTAATTTATTGTTCCTTTATTGCCTTTTGCACCAAAAAACCAACAACCGGATTCTTGACTTGGTAATGAGACTATTGGAATTGCATTTTGACGTACCAATGTTCGGCAAAACTAACCCGCGATAAGCACTCGAACAATGTAATGGAACGGTACTGGTTGCATTCAAATGACTAATTGAAATGAGCACTTCTTTTGGGAGTAAGCAGTGGTACCATCACCCAAATATGCACAGTACTGTCACATTATAGAAGCACCTCCCCCAAAAGCCTCCATTTGGCCAAACACAATCTAATCAGGGCATGTGCTACTTTATTGACGCATTTGCAAAGGTGCACAAAACATTCATCCAAAGGAGACATAATTAGGCGTGTTAAAAGTGAAGGAAGTGTAGAGAAAAACAATTACGATTACTGATACAAGCGTGTGGCGAAATAAGGATGATTAAAGAGTCATCCCATCACAAGTTAAAGCGCGAAGCAAATCTTGAAATGTGCTAACAAATGATAGTGGTCTTAGTGATCCAAGATGTGCAGGTTACCAGAGACAATTTTGTTTTCCAATTGAGAACCTTTAGGGATGCATATCTTCTCCCCATGATTTGCAATAATAATGACCGTCCCCTAAAAAAAAAGAACGGGAACAGAGAATACCCAGAAGTTAATTTATATAGGAAGTGAAATCGTGCTTTACTAAAATGTACAAGGTATCATAATAAGGGTCCAAGAGACCTGATTAGATAGGCAGCATAGTGCGCCCACATAAAAATAACGGAAAAAATTTAACATGACTTTTCTCGGCGGTACCAAAGTGGTTGTGCATTTGGATAATAATAATTTACGAGTGATAATGCGCATAGCACTACGAAAAAAGGGACCAAGGAAAGTAAACTTCCCGTGTGGCAGTGGCAGCACGCAGTGTCATCTGTGCAATCATCAAACTAAACCTTAATTTTTCCTTTTGTGAAGACCTAAACAGAAAACAGACATTTATCCTGTCTAAATCAGTATAGAGACAGAGCAATTGAGGGTGCCAAGCCTAAAACAGCAGGTGCCCCTAGTTGGGTGTGCAAGCACGCGCCTTGCACACCGACCGCATCAACCATTGCATAAACATGAAGCCTGCAACCCAGTTCTTATGCACGTACGCAAACTGGAGGTCCATCCCTTTCCAGGTGGAATGATAGTTTAAATGAAAGCGAACCACCCTTATTCACGCCCCAATCATTTTGAAACAGGAGGTTCAAAATTAACAGCACAAATTGATCTAGTTGTGGTCAAGCCTTCATGTTAGAGGACGACATGGCGATCGTACTTGGTACTAGCCAAGAAATGGATAAAAGGGCATACGCTTTGAGGGAACTTTCCAACTAATAAAGTGACCCTGACATAAACGGCATATACGGTGCGATGTACGCGGGACTAACATCGATGCGCAGCCATTCACAATTGCATAAAACAATTGAAAGTAAGAAGTGACAGGTAGAACGATTGCTATGATCCAATATAGTACAGAAAATAGGTATCGACGACGAAATAACTTGAATAGCATAAAGTAGGTCCCGCCTATCAAAATTTACAATGTGGCGGACAGGTCAACGAACTTTGAACATTAAGATGTTAATAAGGTCACAGTGTCAGAAAACTGCGCGAAAAATTACAACGCGAAACTAAGCAATGCGTTGGGTGAAGCCAATACACAGGCTAGCATCTGCACTCTGAAACGTGTCATGGAAGTACTTTGTGCTAGATTGTGTGAAGAACGTGTAGAAAGCTGATGTAAACAGGAAGGAGCCACACCTTAAGAGAGACGTCTTGGCCAATGTATACGTTACCAGCGATTGTCAGGTGGTCCAACTCCAACAGGTCAGGGATGTTTGCAAAGCGCGACAAGAAGTCCTTGACTTTCTTGAATTCATCTCCTAACTTCACCAATGGCACAGTTGGGAATGAACGCTTGGGTGACATCATAATGGTACCGTTGTCAAGACTGTAGAGGTTGGACATGAGAAGTAACAGATCCGATGTCGTCTTGACAGGAAGGAAACGGCTACGGGGCACGTTGATACCTTAAACGTGGACAAGTTAACTCTCAGCTATGACTGAAAATGGCAAGTTTGGTAACTTTACTAGGACTAGTGAAAGAAGTAATTGACAAGATCACGCCAATTACAAGTGTAAGGGTAGTCGGTAAATATAAGTTCTCACCAATAGCACCCTTGAAGTTGCGGATGGCAGCACCAGCAGCCTCCTCAAGCTGGATAATATTGAGGCCGGAGTCAAGGGTTTTGGGATTTCGAATCACTTCCATGGTCATTTGATCGTTTTTCACTAACTCCTCTACCTCGCTCAATTTGGCCCACAAGTTGTTCGTATTGAAGATGCGAAACTTGCGCACGCTAGTGAACTCGTCGACATGTTCTGGAGGGACCTGTTCCAAAATGAAAAGAGGAGAATGCGAACCTAAAAACACGATTCGTTGTAAATCTTAGCGGCTAGAACCTCAGCTTCCAAATTACAGAACTAACTCCCAAAAAGGACCTGAACAGGAGTTATATGGGGCACGACAACCTATTCAAAGCAAAGCCTGCATTGATTTTACAAAAGTAAAAAATTTAATTTACCTTCTTTACGGTTTGGTACACATATGAAAGTTTCATTTCCGATGAGGAAATCGTGTGTCGTATATTATGAAAGGTAAGTATGAAACGGAACAGTAAAATAGCTGGACGCAAGCAGACATGAATCACATACCGACAATAAGATTACCTGTGCAATTTCAAGAAGTCGCAAACGTCCTTCGTATCCTACCAGTGTACCACCTTTGACATCGGCTCTTGTTTTGTCGGTCACCTCCATCACAAAACCGGGTGCTGACTTTGGATCCGAAGTGAGAAAATTTAGGATATCTTAAGATAAAACCAAAGCCAAAAATGTTAAAAAAACCGCCAAAATAAGAGTTTGAAACAGGGTTGTGGAATGATTATACTGATTTGGACCTTTAATAAGAGTATTAAGAAGGCAAAATCAAAGGCTTGATAAATTAATTAAAGGCAAATTTCGGCACGAAACTCTTGAAAAATGCATTATTTTGCAATGAATAGGACACGTATTGGAGATCGAAATGCTGTTAGATGGTGCAATAATAGCAAGAACCTAGATAATGTATGATAATAATGTCATAAAACCCACTTATACTTAGCACACTAATTCCCCAAGTATCATGAGAAATAGTGCTCAATGCATTCTGAGACTCCCAAACCCTTAACCTTAAATGTCTTAAATGTATGTTGCTATAAGGCAGTGGTAATGACAATTTAAGAAACTGTGAAAATTGCACCAACTGGCAGTTCACCTACCAAGATTGACAGCAGCACGAAAATAACAAATGTGAAATTACTTAAATCAACGCAGGCACCGAGATTATCAATGTTGGAAATAAATATCCATTCTTTTCCTGCCTTGCGCATCTTCTCGGCTAATCCAGACCCGCAGAAGCGGCGATAGACATCACCGTGGCCTGGAGGATACCAACCGGAAAGGTCGACGGGTGGGTGATCGTAATTCTCCGACGTCTTCGATCCCACCAACAGAGCTGGGTCGACGTGCTTCACAATGGGCAATAAGGACTCTCGATTCAAACGAGGATACCTGTGAAAAAGTATACATGAAGAACGCATTACAGATAATGGATAACGTACTCAAACATAATCGAAACCTTGGCAACAACCCATACACCTGCGCACCAGACACTTTCATATGAAGAAGCAAAAGAATCGCAAAATATACAAAGGGGGTTCGATGTTTAGTTAATACGGCTGCATACAACATTAGGAATGCATTTGAAATGAAATAATTTTTGAATAAAGCAAATTTATCTGCGATTTGAGTAAAGTGTTGCAATTAAACACTCTCCTAAACGTACACATTCACAAATCCTTCAGACAGACGTTCGAGAAACGCACAAAAACCTACATGCTTTGGACAAATGTCTCAATTTCAACGTTAACTTTTTGGTACTTCCGTAAAACCTTAGCGGTCTCTTCTTGGGTGTTAAAGGAATTCATCAATACAAGAGGAATACTGCAGCCGAAAGATTTGTTGAGATTCTTTAAGGAAAAGAATAAGTGTTGTGACCTATAAACTCAAGTACACGGAGGAAAGCTTGATAGGACTCTCAGTGAGTCAATTTCGATAAACTCTGCGTCAATGAATGACAGAAAACACATACCTCAATTTGTTGAATGGTTAAATCCAGGAACGTCAACTCATTTCTGACAGAGATGAGTGATTTTGGACCAGTACAACCCATACTTGTACCCAAACCACCATTGAGCTTGATGACAACAAGCTTATTAAGTTGTTCCTTTATAATAGCAGGATTGGTAACTTTCGGTAACATTCTGTATGATTTAAGCTGAAAAAATCAGTGTTAGTTGCAAACACAACCAAACGAGCAGCAACAAAAAGAGAAACGCACGTAATCATCCGGCAACAAATCAATTTTTTCCCAGTCGCAATCCTTTGCTGTTTCGATAAACCGCTTAAAAAGATTTTGAAACGATTGCATCTGCTGCGCAAATCGCTTCTTCTCACTTTCAAGAGTGTCTGGGATGTCTGATGTAAGAAGCTCTAGCTCGTGCGATAAAGCCTTTTCGGCATCTTGAAGGGTAAGTTCTTTGAAGTTCTCCATAAACTGTAAAATGAACAATGAATGGCAACAACCATAAGATTAAGGATGATCCAGCGGCATAAGATGTAAATTACAAGGACTGTGTTAATAATTCCTTACTGCAAAAATGGATGACATTTACTACCAGAAAGGCTTTGTTTATACATTCATTATGGATGCGGAATCACAATAAAAGGGGCTACATTATTTCTACATGAACCTTCAATAACGGTAGGGAACAACTTTAAATTTCTAAAAATATAACGTGCTGACGTAATGCAAATATGCTGTGGTACGAAAAAAGCAGCAGAGTTCAGTGAGAAGGTGAAAAATAAGGAGGGCAGTGATTTAAACACTAAAGAAATGACACCCCTAAGAGATACAACGGACGAACCACGCATGAATCAAACCAACCTACGAAGCCAAACCAGCCGAAGTGAGCGCGATAGCACACTAGCAAGTTTTTTTGAGCATGAATAGAAATGGAAAAATTAAAACAATAGATGTAGAATAGGTATTATTTTCCAAGTGCACAATCGAGCTGATTTTGCCCTCAGAACTATGCAGTTCTAATGCGATTGTTTTAGTGGCTGAATTCAATATAATTAGTGATCTTTAGCGCCATCGAAATGGACCAGATTTTACAAACTTCGCCTCCTAAGTATGGAATATCTGCGACACTACTTTAATCCACATGGCATGTTGCATTATGAAGATCGACACTCCATAGGCGACAACAACTACAAGCCCAACAATATCAAATCACTCTATTATCTTGCCCTCCTCACAAGCATCTTTCTCGACAACAAATTAGTTTGGCTGCAGCAGCCCTAAACTTCCTACTAGAGTAAAGAAGTTAGTAAGTAGATAACGAATACATGCATTCAAGAAGAAGAAGATATTGGGCTTTGTAATGGTCCGAAGGCTGACCAACGCCCACATTAGGCATACAAGCGATCACATAAGAAGCGTGCTCTATTAACCTTCTCGTTTGAGCAACGATTTCGGCGCTTTTCTCAGTACACCTCCCACAGCAACCATCACAGCATTTTCAGTGATACAAGGGAACACCCACAAGCCACGAGCCTTCTCAATAGCTTAGATTCGATTTGGAATTACGTTCGGTCAAAAAGCAAAAGCATATCTTAGTGCGTTGTTTATGTGATTACCGAATATCTGGCGGCTACTTTGGATAGGACGACTATTTAGTGTTACTATGGGGAAGGGCTCTCTCACCCTCCAAGCACGGGATTCGTGTTCGAATTTTCCGTGTATATTGCCGGGAGTTTTAGTAAGGGAGATTGCCATCACCGAGATCTTGACAGCTTGGTTGTAGGGTACGAAAATGGGGTAGAGTTAAACGCAGACATCGTTCTCAACCCTTATATTGTGATGATACTGAATAATCGCCCACCCGAAGTACATGCGCTTTCTTTGCACTGCGGGGGTATGTTACAAACGGTCGACTACAGAATAGAAGTTGTAACAAGGCTGGGTCCGCTGTGTTCCACTACCAGCTTAAGGTTCTGAGACTTCTCACTAGGTTGAAGAAGGCATTAAGTAGTGCTGAATATACATGTATCTAAGGAAGGAGCTAGAGCAAGTTCACACGCACAAGATTAAGATAGGTAAAACCCAGCCGCCAGTCATGCAAGTGGTCACATTGGTAAGGTATTACATCAGATTCCTTTACTTCCCTTCATATTATTGTTGAAAATCTAGGGCTCCATTCCTCCCATTCCCTAGAGCATAGTAAGGCATCTAACTTCGACGCATACACTCCACCTCCCTAATTTTACAGTGAGAATGTTACCAGTGTTTGGGAAGGAGATACGCGTTGACTTCACTGTTACTCTCAACCGACCTGTGCATTGCGAGAAAGCATATCTAAGGCAAGTCACTGACTTGTGGATATTATCGAAGTAGTTCCGCAAGAATGAAAAGCAGCACGCATTTTTCGCTTGTTATTTCGCTATTTCAATCATTTATGAACCTTCCAACAGCTGCGTGTGGGAGACCACAATAGCTTTATAACAGACCTACGTGAACGGTTTCTGTTCAGACACGTGCCTTTGGCCTAAATACACTTAATACCACAAATAGTGGAGATTCCCAAGCTCTTGCTTATGCATAATAGGGTACTCACATTGACGATTATCACGTCGAAGGACATGCGTCGTCGAGAGAACGGGTAGAGCAACACGAAATTAAGCAATAGGCCTACGGCATGTTAAATCTACGTCCCCAAACGGACGTTGGCACTTTCGTTGGCCTATTTTCAATACAAGTTTTACTCGATTCCACATACCATAACAGAAAAACAATTTTCATACAACCTGTCCCGCGACGGACCCCTTGTCTTGACCATACTACCCAATCCCACGAAATGAAATATCCAACCTACCACGGCATAAAACCGTCATCTGATAATTATAATGCTATTATCACCAGGACAAGGACCATTAACAATAGAAAAAAATGAAGCAAACATAGTAGAAATGAGCCAAAGGACCATCACGTCTATTAATGTAGGCGTGAAAGCACAGTTCTGCGAAGAACTAAATGGTAAAGAATAAACGAATAAGACAGGATAAGTACTGCTTGACCTCCGAGCCACTTAGCTTTGAGGTGCCGTAAAGGCGATCAACAAACGAAATTCCAACCTAGCCTAAATGATGAGATGAATTTTCACATACCTCTCCGATTTTATAGCCCAGCGATGATGCCCGAGCCATCATTTCCATTTGAAAAACATAACCACGCGAAACGGATCGCTTTATCAATTCTGTTAAAACGTTTCTCTTATATAAACTGAAACTAGTAGGAATTCCTAATAAACACCTTACCGAAAGCTCCCCGTTAAGTCTGAAGCTTTAGGCAGTAGCAGCAGGTGAGCCAGAAAGTTAGCACTTCGACTATGAATAAAATAATGAAGCAAGATAACCATTTTTGACATATATTTGAGCTTACAATAAGAACAAACCGGTGAAATAGAAAGTAATTAACCCTAGCAGACGAAGACCCAAAATATGGTTAAAACTCCCTATGCATTTCACACAATATCTCCAAAATAGTTTAATACAATCCAAGTGCTGATGTATCAGATATTTCCACTTGTGCATGCAAAATGAATGGCAGAGACGAAAATTTCGAGACAGAACCTGATAATTTTGCGTTTTAAACTCCATCCACACACCCCACCGCCACATCCGTATCGAGTACCGGTCACGATATCATAGTCCATACACTTCTGCAACCTGAACCTTCATATGCGACTAAAGGCTTACTCGATAAAAACTGGCAAAAACTTCGGCTAAGAGCAGTTAATGGAAATTGCCTCATTACATTATGTGAGAGATCAGCGTCCATAATAATGATGAAATCTCCCGTTGCGTACTTCAAACCATGCACATAAGCCGATCCTATGGTATAGGTAATTTACGAAGCGTAAACCAGCAATTACCCAATCCTTCTTTCTTAAGGCGAGGTTTGAGAATCTGCATGTGAATTAAAAAGGAAAACAAACAATTTTATCAGAACCGTATAACTTTTGAAGTTTTTCAGCAGCCAACTGTGTTCCATCGGGACTATTATCATCAATGATAACAATTTCGTAGTTGTATGAGCTTTGGAATTCGTCATGTCAAGATAGCACAAACTTGCTGTTCATATACTTGTCTATGAGATACACAGTAAGGGGAAGATTTTCTTTCTCATTATAAGTAGGCAGTAGCACCGAGTAGCGACTCATCATTGGTCAACCACCTGAACAATAAAGTTAAAGTGGTAAACAAGTGGGCTAGCCCGCTTCAGAGCAACTTAATCTACAATGAGTAAATTAGAACAGCTGAAAGCACAACTAAGAGTATCGCTATCTTTAACATTTAGCAAACATAAATCACAGTCCGGTATTTAGTATTCTTAAGAAGGTGAATGTCATATCTGTCTCTGAATCTGTTTTTTGAGTAGCAGACGTAAAATCAAGTCGATACTTGTGAGCAAGGAAAGGACTGACTTATCTGACACTAGGATAGACAATTTTAGCCTTGTAAAGTTGTATTATTGACACTCAGCTTATGTCAGTATATAGGCTGCAGATGTAGTTGCAGAAAAGAGGAGATTTATTATGCCATGTAAGCATAGCATTTAAGCAAGCCAAAAAGTACTCGCTTACGACCACTGCTAAATAGTTAGGTATCTCGGTACCGATAAAAACCCATCCGAAGACGAAATAAATCACACTGTTTAGCCAAATGCGATCGACTCAGATAAAGATTTAAAAGTTGTACACGGTTCAGTGGTCAGGATGCTAGGCAAGAGAGAAAGGAAATGACTCTCCCTAAATAAACCCATAATTAGTGCTTGACAGTCCCGACTTTGTAATCAACCTTTAACGCGTTGTTTATGTGACTGCCGGGCGTTTGGCGGTCACTTTAGAATTTGCCCGGCCCTTGTGCACGTGGGCTGGCCTTCGGGCCACACTTGGGCCCATTTGCCCCATCCACTGAAGTGTTCTGAAATTTTTTTGTTTAGGTGCCAGCATTTTAACAGAGTTTTGGCTAGTTTCGACGATTTTATCCCAGATTTGTAATGGTTTACACACTTTCCTGAGGCCCCTACTTTTTAGCAGAAAGTATTGAGCATATTTGTATGCCTGTATTTAGGTGGAAGTGGAAGACGTGGGGCTTGGCTTGACCCTAAGGCTAGCCCTGCCGTTCAGGAGCACAATGAACAACAAAAAGGTTGACTTCTATAGCGTTCCGAGACTTTCCACCGGGTAGAAGAAGGCATTAAATGCAGCTAAAAATATGCGTATTATAGAGAGAGAGCAAAGGTATTAATCCTGAGCTTGGCCCGGAGGTCAGCCCACGCGTATAGGAGCCAGGCGAATACTAAAGTAGTAGCGAAATATTGGTTGGTCACATAAACAAAGTGTTACACCAGTTATACAGGAAGTTGGTTAACCACTGTATTGCAGCTAGTGGTAGTGAAGAAAACGGCATATTGATGAACATGATCAATTGCTTAAATGCATTTGCTTGGGAAAATAGCTGCCACAATACACGTCGTAATGCTTCGAATCGGACTCCAACTGCTTTCAAACAGGAATAATAGTCTGCAAACAGATGCACTCCTGTCAGATAGAATAGGTCTATCTCTGGTCATTTACCTCATTTTAAATCTATGAAACGGGTAGTGGGTAGAGTTTTGCAACCCCTCGTTGAGTAATGAAGGGCATAGGTTTCGGTTGGGTGCATAAAAAAAGGCAGGAAGAAAAGAGATGAAACTTTTGGTATGGCATGGCATGAAGACCAGCTTGTCCGACAGAAGTGTGATGGGCGCTAAAATATCCGGCAAGAATGAACCCATAAACCATCCGCCTCGGCTACTAGCCTCTGCCATCGATGGTCTCGACGTCTCCGTTCGCTTCGTTCGACCTAAAAACCAGGAATCAGAGAATGGAAGTTGTGTTGACCATCATAAGTGCCTAGAAATAGATGCCGGGAGTGCCGTATGGGAGGGGCTTTAAGC